GCTGGGCTCCATGATTAGGAATGTCACCAGTGGAAACAGGACTGGCTGGGGCAGGGGAATCTCAGGCACAAAGAGAAAAGGACATTCAGCTCATATCCAGTTAGAGAATTTAGGTTGACAACGTGAGTGTCTTATTATGACATCTGCATGCTGCTGTTGAATCTGTATCGTACTGTGATCCCTGTCAGGGTGCGGGGCACACCTTCAATCCCAGCTCTTCTGGGGACTGATACCAGGGACCATAAGTTTAAGGACAGCCTCAGAAATCTAGCAGAATCCTCTCAAACTAAGAAATAGAACAGACTGGGATGTGGCTCAGTGGTAAAGTGCCCCTGGGTTCGATCCATAGTGTAAGAAATAAAAAATAAACTAAAAAAGAGCTGGGATGTGGCTCATTGATATAGCACTTGCCTAGCATGTGAGAGGCCCTGGGTTTGACTCCCGGCACTAAAAACAAAAATCAAAAGTTCTGGTTACTGATTTGTGGAAGTATGTATTTAATGTTGATCATACCAATGGCTCTATAGGCTCCCTAAGGGTAGGGGCTTGTCTGTAGTGCTTTTCCTATATCCATAGTGCCCAATAAGGTGCCCGACACATCACAAAGGCTCCCAGATATTAGCTGAGTTAACAAATGAATACATGAATGGGTCTGTGCCAGTCCATGTTGTGGCCGTGTTTGCCGTTTGTGCACGCGACGGCAGGAGCAGGGCAGAGCGCTGCTAGAACCTAGCATAAGAAGAGAACCAGAGAAGCTGCCTCCCCTCGATGGTCCAGGGCTGGAGGGTGTGAGATGGAGTGTGGGGCAGGCGAGGCGGCTGGCATGACTACCCACAGGACACTCGGAGCCCCAGGGAGAGCTCTGCCTGACACCACAGCTTCGCCAGGCCTCCCCGGATCCTTAGTGGCCTCTCCTGGGCCTTAACATCCTCATCTGAAACACGGTGAACCTGGGCTCAGTGGTGCACACACGTGACTCCAGCTACTCAGGAGGCTGGAGCAAGAGTATCACAAGTTTTAGGGAGACGCCATCTCAAAATAAAAAATCAAAGGGGCTGGAGATAGAGCTCAGTGGTGAAGCCCCCTGGGTTCAACCCCCAGGACTGCAGTGAAATAAATAAATAATAARACATGATGAATGACCTTTCTTCTCCATGGCAGTTCTGAAATTCGGACATTTTAGAAAGGTATCTGAGCCCCAAGAGCTTGCCAGAGACAAACCATGGCAAGATCTTCTGCCTACCAAGTAGAAAACAATTAAGTTTTAAGATATAAAGTATCRCTCCATTCCAATAAAACAGTCAACGTGGGTTGGAGGGGGGCGGGTATCTTCTGGCCAGATTGAGACCAATTAAACGTCTTTCAGACATCATCCTTTCCCTGCCTAGAAATCAGTTTCCAGGCCTCCTATCAGAACAACAATATTCTCAACCAGGCCTGGCCTTAGCKTCCACCTCTGGCTATCCCAGGGAGTCCTCTGATCAACATTCGCAGTTAGCATGGAAGTCCTCACAGCCTCCCAGACTGTCACAGATTTTTTTGGGGGGGGGCAAGTAGCAGAATCATAGGAAACCTAGAATTAGGTAAGAAAGCAAAATTCCCCCAGAGAATTCAGAGAGAGCTACAACTGAGCATCTTAAACAATCACTGTGTAAGAGCAGAAGAAAAAAAACCCACAATTCAAAAAAAATGTCTATCTATAGATGCAACATCTTAGAGATGAATATTAGGGATTAATTTCAGCTTTCGACTCCCACATCTCAAGATGTCACTTTGAAAAGCCAAAGGTTTTATCCACAAAACCACCAGTGAGTAAAGAGCCGTCACATTCCTACCCTCACACACACAGTAAGGTATCTACTCTCTGATAAACGGCAATTGCAAATAAATTGCATTTAATCTCTAAAAGCCACAATAAAAATCTTCACCCTCCACGGCAGAGCCTCCAGTTGTGTATGCAGCCCTGCTGGTGCCAGAACACAACAGGAGGCACGTTTTCTTCTCAAGCATCTTACATTGACCTTCTCTTTAAAAAAATGTAGGAGGGAGGAGGAGAGGGGAAAACCCAACCCCTCCCACCCCATTCTCTGTACAAATCGGCCAATAAATCTAACGAGGAGACACAAGAGGAAGGACAGAAGCCAACAGGTGGAAAAGGGCTTTTTGTTTCCTTAGAAATGCCCAGACACTTGATCTGTGCTGGGGGTGCTTGTCTCGGGGTGTCCTGAAGGAGGGTTTTGTCATCGTGATGGTGACGATGGGGATCAGGAGGGCACTGGTACTTGGTGATTCCACAGCATCTCTAGCTTGGCGATTTCTCCACTGTGTTTTAGACACAGTGATCTGTCCTGTTTTGCTAAATCCCGGGGAGGTGGGCAGCATCCCCCACCCGCTTTCTCTCGTTTATGCAGGTGGGGAAACTGAGGCTCGGGCACCCCCGGCTGCTTTACAGTGTCTGCGACTGGAGAGATCCCTGAGGCTGGAAAAGTTTGTGGGTCGTCTGGTGGAGAGTTCTCTGGCTCTCCCTGGGAGAGTCTGGGCGGGGGCTGAGGACCGGGTGACTCCCCTCCGCCACAGGCGTGCCCAGGCAGCGTGTGGGAAGTCCACACTCCCACAGAYCCCGGCAGACTGGCACACACAAAGCTCCGGTGCCATCTCTGCAGTCACTCAGCACAGCCCGGCCAGCCCTGGCTCAGCCTGAGGAGGCTCGGCTGGAGGCTTGCAAGGCCGCCCTGGCTCGGCTGGGCTTCCCCAAGCAGGGCTCTGCCCTCTCTCCCTCTCTCCCTCTCCTCTCTCTCTCCCTCCCACCCTCCACCCTCCTCCCACCCGCTCCTTCCACCCCTTTCCCCCACCCACCCAGAGGCGAGATGGTGTTCCTGGGGTTCCCTGGAAAGAGGGGCCATCCCTAGCCCTGAGCGCCTGGAAGAGACTGGCAGGGGCAGCACGGGAGCTCCAGTCGCGGGACCCCAGCGCTCTCCTGAGCGGCGCAGGAGGAGACCCCCACTTCCAGGCACAGGCGAGCCAGCCTGCACAGAAGAAGGAATTGTTAGGGCTCTTACCTTTTTATGAGGAGAAATTCTGGAGAATCATTTCAGAAACTGAGGGGGGAAGTGAATGAAGACAAAAAAGGCCCTTTTCCTGCCATCCCCGGCCTCCTGGTATCAAGACACCAGGACAACATCAAAGCAACTTAGGGGGAACACTTTAGGGGCCTATTGTCTGCTCTGGTCTGATCTGTTTTCCTTCTGACTCCCCCCTCGCTGCGGTGACACTTGGTACGGCCCAGGCATTCATGCCAAGTAGCTTTCACACATGGAAGCTTGTCTGAAGCAATTGCTGACAAGCCACAAACAAGACATTCCCCTCCCTCCTCCGCACCCCCACTCCTCCCCCCTCTGCGCACCCCCACTCCCCTCCACCTTTCCCTCCTCCCCTCCCGTCTCCCTCCTCCTTTCTTCTGAATGCAAACTAAAACTCTCCAGTGACAGGCCCAGCTTGCAGGCTGGGCCTAGCTGCACAGGCAGGCACACACACACACACACACACACACACACACTCACTCACACGCCAGCAGCTCAGCTAGTTGCTGCTGCACTGGTGGAGTTGAGAGACAGGAAAAAGCCCAGGCTGAGTTGGGGGCGGGGAGAGAAAGAGAGGGAGAGCCAGAGCAGAGCTGCCTCCCGGGTCCTGGTAAGATGGAGAGGAGCCCTGGGAGACACAGCAGGGCCACCACGTGTGCCCAGGGACACAGACTCCAGGCCCACTGAGCTCCAGGAAGAGTGACATGAATGACCCGACAAAGGAAAAGCAGAGTCCCATCAGTTGGGGATCAGGGGACGGGGAGATGAGAGGGGAGGACCCAGGACTGGGTTTGGTGAATGTCTGGAGGGTTTCCTTCTCTCCTGTTGAACCCTGAGGATCCGGTTTCCTTGGCGTACCATTGAGCACAGACCTGTGCGCGAGGCAGAATACAACCGTGAAATGTGTCAACGTGTGAGTGAACTTAACTGTGGGCTCAACTTGTGCCCAGGATATTTTTAAAGTGGAGCTTTTCTTTCTTTCTTTTTCCTTCCTTCCTTTCTTTCTTTTTTTAGCAGAAACCCTAGAGAGCGGTAGCAGAGAGAATAGTAACAAGTAGTGTGAGCTGGGAGAGCTGTGAAGTGTGATGCTAAAGTTACTGATTGTCAGGCTGCTGGAATTTAYGGAGGGTGGGCCTGGGAGTTGGAGGGGGAAGGGTGAGTCTCTGTGAGCTGTTTTCTAGGAATGAGGGGGATGAGGTAGGATAATGAATATGGCAAGAAGCAAGCAGGAATTTGATTGGTGTGGAGGGCGGAGATGGGGGGAAAGGGGGGAGAAGAGGGAGGGAAAGAGAAACATCACTGCATT